GGTCCAGCATGTGCCCAGTGCACGAATCCGTATCAAATAATACGACACGGGCCACGCGCACGCGCGCCACGCGCGCGTTCCGACATCATTCCAACATGTCTTGGATTTCGATGCCTTGGAAGGTAGAGCTCTTCAAACTCATAGGTATACCGTGTACTGTTCAACAATAAGTGCGCTTGGTGCCTAGTATGTCCACGCGCGCGCATTTCCTCACCATTACCTTCATCCTTGCCACTGTTCTACCGCCGCTATCGTCATCGCCGATTGCCGCCATTGCCGCCATTCTCACTCAATCGCCTTCATCACTGACGCATGGACATTATTTTCGTCATCGTCGTCGCCAGCCTTGGCGCCGTCATTGACCTTGCCGTCGCCACTGTCACCATCGCAGACACCATCGGTATGTAGAGCCCCACAGTTGCGGATAAAAGTGAGAGGCGGGCGCGGGTTGGGCGGGTCAAGGGGTGGGTCGCGGGTGGGTCGTGGGTGGGTCGTGGGTGGGTCGCGGGTGGGTCGCGGGTGGATCGGTCATGGGTGGGTCGCGGGTGGGTCGCGGGTGGGTCGCAAGTGGGTCGCGGGTGGGTCGCGGGTGGGTCGCGGGTGGGTCTCGGGTGGGTCGCGGGCTGGTCGCGGGTGGGTCGCGTGCCGGGTCGCGAGTAGGATGACGACAACAGAAACCAACAACAACAACAATAACAACAATGACAATCCGCACCGTGCAACCCCACTTCAGCCACGCACTCAGGGACAGTGAATGACCGTTCGGCCCCCGACTTCAGACTATCTTCATCGTAGCCGCCGTCGACGGCGTCATCCTGATACCGCGCCCGCCCGGGTAACCGATCCGCCCTGGAGCGCCCGCGCGGCAGCGCGGCCCTTGAGACGCGCCTGGAAGTCTCTATCTGTAAACGCCATCGCGGCCGCATTGGCCGCGCAAAACCAGCTGACAGGTCTGCGCGCGAGTTTGCGCGCTAGCGCAGTTGCAAAGACGCGCCAGCCAGTGCCAAGGAGTCACCGCAATCGCGGTCGCATGAGTTGCGTCAAACGAATTACGGGTGGTAGGGTGGGGTGGTTCCGCGACCAGTGGAGTTGACGATTTCAAATTCTGCACGGTGGATTGCATCACGTAGGCAGTTTCTCCATTCACAAGAAGAATAGAGTTGACCACCATTCCCCCCCTGACTTTTCGGTTCCCATTGGGACAATGCAACTCACATGTGGTTCTGCTTCGTCGTTGGTTTTGTTTTCTACTCATAGCATCCAGCCCAGCCGGCATTGAAAACCCCCCTTACCCATGTTGAACAATACGATGCGCGCGCCCGTTCATCGCAACAGTTTGTTCAAGAGCCCGGAGGGGGAATAAACATCCACATTATGCCCACGCGCATTCGCACGACCAGAAACCACACCGAACAATATCGTGTTGCATGCGTTTCGACTTACAAACGTGAAACGCTTTGCCATTTCATCACAAATATTGCATATGTAAAACGTTTGAGTTTAGGACATTCGTCCAGCACCCTCATTCTCATCCCACCACTCGGTGCATCCGCGTTGATGTAGCATGTGGCCAGTGTACGAATCTTGATCAAATGAAGCATTGAGGGCCACGCGCGCGCCGCATCGGGCGCACCCAAATCCGTACGAAATCCGTGGTTATCGACGAATTTCAAGATAAAGAAATCTCTTCAAACACATGTCAGGATTCACAGGTTTTGTCAGCAAGAAGCCCGCCGTGTGTCTAAACTTTCTGCGCGCGCCCCATTCCTCGCCATCGCCTCCAGCAGCGACGCTGCCTCACGTCATCGATATCGGCAATCGCCGGCACTGCCGCCATCATCACTCAAGCACCCATTACAGTCAACCCGCGTAGTAAGGATGAGCGGCTTTCCAAGACTTGTTTTGCATCCTTGCTCCTTCGGGCAATATTTACGGACTTTAGCTGGCCAGCCTCGTTCGAATGAAAGCGCCAACACAGCTCTCCCCTGGCCCTTGCATCCTTACAGTGAATCCTTACTATACGGGTTGGCTGTACCGACGCATGGGCCTCATCATCGTCACCATTGTCACCAGCATCGGCGCCGTCATTGGCCACGCCGTCGGTATTGTCATCATCGCCACCGCCATCGCTACTATCACCACCGCTGCCATCGTTGACGGAGCCATCATGATCCCTCGCCCGTCCGAGTTACCGACCCGCATTGGAGTGCCCGATCGCCAGCGCGGTTTTTGAGACGCGCCGTGATGTACCCATCGTTGGGCGCCATCCTTGCCGCATCGGCTGTGCCAAACCAGCTGACCAGGTTGCGAGCGAGCCTGCGAGCGCCTGCGAGCGCCGCAGAGATGCGCCAGCCATTCCCAGGAGTCAGCGCAATTGCAGCCGCATGGGTTGTGCAAAGCAAGTTGCGAGTTAGAGGGTGGGATAGTTCTTCGAGCAGTGGCCCTGACAATTCATATGAGAACACTTGTTAATTCTCCGCTATAAAGAAATCGGGAGTTACCTCCCCTGGCTTTATCGACCTCCCCTGGGACACTGCAATGTACATACGGTTCTGCGCCATCGTTCATTTCTAGTGCGAATTCATTCCATCCCAGGGGGTGTCCTCACCGATCCCCCCTTTCATCCTTGTCAAATTAGTCTGTGCAAGCGCACCCGTTTATCAGAATCGTACGTTCCCAACATCCACGTTCCAACAATTTGTCAAAGTCCACGAACGAGGCTCCCTATTACACATAACAAACACGTTTGCGCAACCTCATCTTTCAATATCTATAGATCTGTGTATATATAATATAAACCATACATATATATATGTGTGTATATTTATTTATTTTTATATATATATATATATATATATATATGCGCCCTCTTCGAACTCGAATCAACAACCATCGGGCGATTGCGCCTTTTTTGTCACATGAGCACACGCGGGCCTCGCATGGCGCAATCGTTCGAACGCCCTTGCGCGTTTGCTGGGGGGCAACTATCGCGCCGTGTCAAGTAATATCATGCGGGCAACTCGCGCGCGTCGGCCGCGCGCGCATGTGGTGCTTCTTTCGCACCTTCATCACCGGTACGTGGACACCATCATCGCCATCGGCGCAACCAGCATCGGGGCCGTCATTGGCTTTGCCGTCGTCGCCACCACCATCGTCACCATCATCGCTACTATCATCAACCCGCCGTTGTCGACTTCACCATGCTTCCGCGCCCGCCCGAGTCTCTGATCCGCCTTGGAGCGCTTTCGTGGCAGCGCGGCCTGCGAGACGCGCCGCGAAGTCCCGAGCTGTCGCCGACACCGCGGCCGCGTCGGTCGTGCCAAACTAGCTGGCCGCTGTGCGCGCGAGCTTGCGCGCGCTAGCGCGGCCGCAGACATGCGCTAGCCTATGCCAAGCACTCTTTGCAATCGCTGCCGCATGGGTTTTGCAAACCAAGTTGCGGGTGGGTGGGTGGGATGATTGCGCGATCAGTGGAGTTGGCAGCACCAAGTTCAACATTAATTACACCCCACACGTTGCACCACATAAGGCGCATATCGAGAGTGCAAGAATCTACCGCTGGAGCCAGCGGTCCATCCCCCCACAAGGCACGACCCATGTTGGCGGCGTGCTGGAATGGGTGCGGCGCTTCTGCGCTAGATTTTCCGTCGAAGCCGTAGGTGGAGTCCCTTTTGGGGAAAAATCCGTGTGAGGTGTGTGCCGACATGTGCGCGGCGCCGCCATGCGAGCGCTTTTGCTTGGGCCACATGGAGGAGAGTTCCCTGTGGAACACGATCTTTGTGTGATGTGTGTTCCGAAGCGGGTGCGGCGTCGACATGCGAAATTTTCCGATGCAACCGCTGGATCCATGAAAGGGATGTGCCGACATGGGTGCGGCGCCGCTATCTGTCTGAGTTCCTCCTCTGGGACGCTTGGCCGGAGCTCTCTGGGGGGCACGATTTGTGTGAGGGGTGAGCCGAAATGGGCGCGGCGCCGACATGCGAATTCCCTGGTGGGCTCCCTATGGAGCACGATGCAGAAACATTCGGCACGCACCGTAACAACAGCAACGGTAGGAGCATGAAACGCGGAGGAGGAGTCAGGACAGCCAGTGATTAATGGACGCTGCGCTCGGGGCCCCGCCTGGCCAGGGTATGGGTGACGCAGAAAAGTCGTGATGGCTGACGCGTGCGCGCGGCGCTGCGGAGAGAAATCGAAGACACAACAACACAGGTTAGTCGGGGAAACAGGGCGAGGAGGAACAGACAGGGGGAGGAGGAGGGGAGGAGGTGAGGAGGGACGCGCGGCGCTTCGGATTCAAAACGATAGCCCAACATCATAGAAGGGTCGGGAGGGACAGTAAAAGCAGGAGATGGGAGGGTGGAGGAGGCGGGGTAGGAATAGACGAGGACAAGCGCGGCGTAGCGGATTGAAGATGTGGAACAGGCAACACAGGAGGATGTTCGGGCTGGGAACAATTGTACAGCTCAGGTCGTGTTGGAGTTCGGTCAGAGGGAGCCCAAACTTGGCACGTGTGGTGCATAAGTCTCGTTCTCGTATCAGCGAGCCCAGACATTTGGCGCATCATCTGTTTTTCGATGTTTGGGCCCCCAGAGGCCTGGACCCCTTTGGAACCAGGTTTTCACTCCGGATCCCGGTTTTGCATCCGAGGGGCCCGAAATTGAACGGCGACAAACCAGCCGTCTCGATCTGATCAAGGCGAAGAATGTCTGGGTCGTATTTGAATCAGCCAGGTTGGGCCAAGACTGGGATGAGTCGTCCCAGAGCGTTCGGGAACGCTCCCAGAGCGTTCCAGAGCGCTCTGGAACGGCCACGGCGACCGATACAGACCCTAGAGCCTCCGCGTCTCAGAGAACCCCGATTGGTCCGAGGCCGACGTTGTCCCGGTCCTGGCCCCGCCTTCAGCAGGGAGGGAGCCCTGCGTCGTGCCTCCGCCCGGCCGCCCCGGCGAGGCGCCGGTACCCCCTGGAGCGGCGCCGCGCGGCGCGCGCGCGCGCCAGATGCTGCTGCTGCGAGGAGCCGTCCCTGCCCTTCGCTTCCGAGAGGGGCCAAGGGGGTTCAGGGGAGGAAGAGGTACCCACACCGCCATACCGCTACCCTCGCCTCGTTTTCCCCTGTCTGGGCCCGCTCGGGAGGCCCTCGTCGCCACCGATGGATTCGCCTCGAACTTCTGGTCAGAGCGCACCCACGGAGAGGCCCGGGGAGCAGCGGCATGCACCTTTTGGTTCACCCAGGAGGAGGTGCAGGGGCAACGTTCCCAGAGCCCCTCGCGCTGTGATGCCTTCACAGCGTCGACCTCGAGAGGTCTCGATATCCACTCGCCAGGGCCAGTTTTGCCTCTCGAGTCGTTGCTTGACGGTCCCAGGGCCCGGCGAGGACCCCCAGATGTCGAAAACAGGCCGGAGCTGCCCGTCGTGATGTCTTCAGGACGCGAGCACGTCTGGTCAGGGAGGGGCAGGGCACCGCTGCAGGATCCGGCTTGATTAAGGAACACTTACTTTTCAAAAGGGGCTCGGTCGTTCCTTTGGTTTACATGCGTTCCGCTACCTTTTTGGCGGCGAGCCCCCCTGGTGTTCCTTCGGACTTTGTAGACTTACTCGGGAAAAAAGCGGCCTCGTTCCTCATTTACCGTTCCTTCGGTCAGGCCGAATACTGTATGGGGGGGGATAAGCTCAGGGTGGAAGGCATCGACCCCCGTTCGCCCATCCATTGCTGATAGGGGCCCGACAGCTCTGGCCTCGCAGGGGTGCGTGTGGATATTCTCTGTCGTAGGCCTGTCGCCGAGCTATCGGCGATGTATGGCCGACTCCAGGTCGACGTTCCCCCCCGGAGCCGGTCCCGCCCTAACCTGCCCCCTCAGAGGGGAAGGGGAGAGTGCGGTACACGGGCGCGCCGAATCATGCGCGGTGGCGATCCCGGCGCGGCCGTTCAAGGTTCCAGGTGGAGTGATCCGAGACCGATGTCAGAACGCCGCGATCGTTCGAGGTTGAACGAGGCACGCGGCGTCGGAGGCCAGCGCGCAGGTCGCCACGACACGAAGCTGCCGCAGGCAGGCTTTTCCCTCGCTGGCCATCTCGCTGTTGCCTTCGGCCCCTGGAGTCCCTGGAGGGTCGGGGGCCGTTCTGGCGACGGTCGGGGCCTGACGAGGTCGTCCAGCCTCGGTGCTGGTGCCCCCATCGCGCTCGCCGCGTTGGCCACGCGCCAGGTCGGGAATCGAGGTGGCATTCGGCAAGATGTTAGCAAAGGTGTGTCGTCACCGGTTCGCAGGCTTCTGAGGTTTCTCTCTGGCAGGGTCCTGTGGCCTCCAGGAGGCTTCCGGAGGCCAGACGGAGAGGGCAAGTGGGACGGGGGCGGGGAGAAAGATTGGAAGGGAGAGGGGAGGGTACGGGGGAGAGTGAGAGTGCGCGGGCGGGGGCTGGGGGAGGATGAGGGGGGGAAGGGAGAGAGGGAGGGATGAGGAAGGGAGTGAGGGGGCAGGGGGGATGTGGATGAGGCGTCTCCGAAAACCAGGCCGCCATATTTATCTGAGGGGCCAAAGATGACGAAGAGTCTCGCCTCGCTGATAGGCCCACCAAGACATGTCACAATAACCTTTTCATTGTGCGCGACAAGCTGCCAACACATTTCTGATCGAATCAGTTGTGAATGAAGACGTTGGGCATTGGAATCTGTTTCCGATGTTATATATATATGAAGGTTTAAAGACATGTTGTGGTAGACGTGGCGAATGCTAGGACAGTTGCTCCCTGCTCAACTTTTCGCTCCGGATTCTCCCGTGCGGGCTTCATGAGGGGGCCGACAGCGCCGAAAGCGCGAGAAGACGCCCGCGTGTCTTTTTTGTTTTTGTTGATCTTTGATGTTCTGCGGCGCCCCTTGAGATCCGACGGCGTGTTTCTTTAGCCCACGGGTCTCCTCCGACCCCATCTGGGAGGCCTCCAGTTGCCCTCGCGCCTCCAGGTTCCCGTGTCGTCCTCGCCGGCCTTGCCGCCGGGAGGTCGTCGTCGTGGTCGTGGCCGCTGTCGTGGTCGTGGTCGTCGCCGTCGTCGTCGCCGTCGTCGCCGTCGTCGCCGTCGTCGTCGTCGCCGTCTCCACCGCTGCGGGCCCGCCCAGGGGTCTGCCGTGCGTCTGCCCGCTCGTCCTGCGCGGCACGCCGGCAGTGGCGCCCGCCGGCGCCGGCGAGCGCGCGCTGTGGCGGCGGCGGCCGCAGAACGGACGGGCACGGCCTGGTGCGGTGCGATCGCAGCGGGCACGGCATGTTGGAGCCGGCCGGGGGGTCCGAGGTGGCACAGCCCTGGGTCCCTGCGAGCCGGACGGGGGGGGCGAGGTCCAAGGTGCTGGGTTCGAGAAGGCCTTTTTGGCCTCTTTCGGCTCCCGGGGCCGTTTTCGGGAGTGCCAAAACCGGATCTGGGATGGAAAAGCTGCAGCAGATGGGCCCTCGGGGTGCGGGGACTGTTTTCGAACGCGTGTGCCCTCCTCCGTTTTTCTTGACCGTTTTTCTCTGGGTCCAACCAGCTCAGACCTCCCGGCGGCTTCCAAACGGAAAGAGTGGACACGAAGACCGACCGCGGTTCCTGAGCAGCTTGCGCATGCAGGATTCGTTGTCGGCGTCGCCGCGGACGCTGTCCATTCGAGGCACTTCAGCCGCCTGCCCATCAGCGGCCGCTGTCGGTTTCGGGCATCGTGCCCATGCTTTCCGTGCCCATGTCGGGCGTCCAAATTGGCGTTGCTTTCGCCAAAGGAGCAGGAGGTCAGACCTCCGACGATCTGACTGTTTCAATCCAGGCGTTTGTCTTCGATTCGGCCATCGGCCGATCTAAGCCTCCCAGATGGGGTTCGAGCAGATGCGGTCGGAGGATCGCGCCACATCGCCGATGCATCGCCGATGCGGCTCGATGTGGGGCCTTTTTTTCTTGCCGACGGCGCCGATGAATTGCCGACGACGCCGATGCATCGGCGATGAATTTGCGATGCGTCGCGGTCCTCAGGCCCCATCTACTGAAACCCCAGGAGGCCTCGATTCAATCCTGGCGATTTTCATTGGAATTTCGGCCTCCCGGGTCCCTCTACCGGCCCCTGCAAGGCCTTGGCCGTTTCGGCGTAAGGCCTCTGCAAGGCTCAAGGCTCAAGGCGTTGCAGGCTGGACCCCCCCCTCTTTTGCCACGCCCCCTGGCGACCTCGGTATTTCCCTTTTACAAAAATACTTCCCTGACACTTTCTATCACAATTCTGCCCGGTTTCTCGCGACACCACTCTAGGCGGGGATGCCGGAACGTCATCTTCTCGAAGCCCCAAGGCGGCCAGAGGCAAAGCAACAGAGGATAGCAGTCCGCTGCACGAGGTGAACGAATTGGACGACGCAGCCGAGCTTGCCGCAGGTGGCGTCGGAAGCGTGGACGACAGGACTAAGCAACAGCAGGCACTACTCCAAAAACGTGTGGAAGTCGCAGCGGAAGACAGTGCACCTTTATTGGCAGGTGTGCTGTCACACACTCTACATGAACAGCTGGGGACGATCAAGTCCGACACGACCGCGAACAAGCAACACGGAGTATCGCATGCAGACCTGAAACCATAACACACATCGATTGGCGACCTTTGCTGATGGCAGCCGTTGAGGCTAATTAATCATGTAGTTTCGAGACTCTGATCGGCAACATCGGGGGCAGCCCCCAGCATGACTTCCACGATCGAAAATCAATTGCACGAGTTGGAACGCGAGGTGGCCAACCTAAGTCGGAAAAGGGTTCCCAGGACCACTTAATTAGCAACACTACGGCATCAGCGACCGCCTACCGCGTCAACGGCAAACGCGCGGCGGCTGCGGTATTTGGGGATTTCGAGAACTTCGACATGAATAACAAACACAGCCACCGAATGGATACGGGGTACAACTTACGACGGACGACGGTCCTATCCCACGGAATATGTTCACAAAAAGGTGGCACTACTCACATCTAGATCGTCGACTGCGATTCGATGCTGCACCGCGACACGGCCGCTGCTTTCATAAGGAACCTGAAGCTCACACCCGGCGGCAACAATGTGTGGGCTGCACGGGATCGAGCACAAACGGATCGAGCCGCCCGAAACTTTTGTTTCGGCTTGAAGCACATGCTCGAAAAAACGATGCAACCCCCGTACACCATCAGAGTTGCGGGCGAGAGCCCCTTTTATCAAAAACGTGTGGGAGGGGAGCTCGCGCTCACCATCACCACATAGGGGAATAACTTGGAGCGGGATTGGGCGGAATCCTGGAAGGCGTTGCTAGAACTACATCATCATCTTCAGCTCGTAGGGTTTACGGTCACATGGGACACGCTATTGGCGCGGGCTGCCAAGGGCATGAAGGGCAACCCGAGAGGCGGATCAAAGGGAGCGGGCTCAAAGTAGGGTGTCTGGTTGATGCTGGTGGAGCCGCAGATCAGCACTGGAGCCGTTTCCATCAACGAGAGCAGGCGTCTTGCGACCTAGAGCTACCACGGAGACGTCACGGCGCATTGGGGCAAAGCTACCTCACCTCATCGTGTGTAGTCAAAAACCAGATAGCAGGGCGGCCCAAGGGCGTGGAAAGGTCTGGAGAAGAACTCTGGAAGGACCTGGAGAGAGCTTCCGAAGGACCTTCTGGAGAGCTTGCGGCTGCGCATATTGGGAAGCGCTTAGAAAGACATGTCGCGACAGGCTGCGAGGTCAAGCAGGTTCTTCCAGCGCTGGAAAACGGAAGCCGGAACGACCTCTTGGGCGACCCTGCGGCTCGGGCTTTTTAATTTGAAGCCCTCTTGGCCCTCTACGAGCTATCCGGGAGCCTGCTCAGGTCGGAGCAGTTTTACGACATGCTCAAGTCGGATCAGTCTTACGACCTGCTCAGGTCGGAGCAGTTTTAAGACTTGTTCAGGTCGGAGCAGTTGCAACGGCAGGTTTGGATTAGCAAGCTTGGGAGCCTAGAGGAGAGTTTAAATGAAGGAGAACGCTGGTGGGAAACGCATGCGAGGACGCTGGACAGCATGCTTGGGGAGCTTGCAGGCATTGAGCAGACGCTCGCCACGGCGCTGCCAAGGGCGCCGAAGCTCGGGATTGCGAGCTTCGAAGGGGCTGCGAAGGGGCTGCGGCGAGGTTTCAGGCGCGCGCATTGGGCATGAGTAAGAAAAGCGCTTCTCGGGACCCGCTTCTGGCTCAAGCAGGGCGTTGCGGGGGTGCCTGCCCAGGAGCCTTGGAGAGGAGCTGCTCTGCCCTGCGCTGCCAGCTCCTAATCTAGAGCCCTCTTAGCTCTCAGAGTTATCCAGGAATTCATCCGTTAGGCTCCAACATTCCACCTCCAACCTCCGACTCCGGAAATTATATATTTCAGTGGTGTTTCCCATCGACGTCTGCATGTTCGCCGCCCCCCAACATCGTCGCTTCAGCGGTGCTGACAACGTCCGTGGTCTACTCGACCACAGAAGATGGGTTCCACGGCAACCTGATGGATTCTGACCCCAGCCCCCGCCTCGACGACCTCGGCGTCGACCGCGTGACCAATCACCAGCGTTTGTTATCCCCCCCCCACGACGCGCGCCCCGCCCCATGGGCCCCAGAAGGGGCGCGTCTCAGTTGGCGGGCGTCTCTCCCGAAGGAACCATTCCAGGAGGAACGGCCCAGGACAGAACCCTGCTTCAGGTGTCACCCGCGCCCCCTTACGTTTCGCCACTGGCGGATGCAGGGGCGACGCTGGCCTCGAGACGGACAATTGTTTCCCCGACTCCGGTTCCCAGGTCCGACGCCCAACCCCGGACTCTCGCTGCCTGCCATGGGTCCGAGGGGGGAGGCACGGGCAAATGCATCAATGTTCTGGGAGATATCCCATTAGGTCCACGACGTGTCTTATTCCGTTTTCAGGAGCTTCTTCGCAAGAGGACTCCGCTCGACTACCGCGACAGATAGATGATCACCAGACCGACTCCTGCTCTGAACCCCGGCTCCGACCCCAGTTCCCGCCGTCGACCTTCCAGCTCCGAGCATCCGCCGCCAGCGATCGACCCCCAACTTTTGACCGCCTGCTTTCGACCTCCTCCTCCTCCCATCGACTTCCGGCGCCCGGCAGCTCAGCGCTCCAACCTCCGCTCTCCAACGCGCGACTTTCCACCTCCACCCGCCTCCACCTCCGCCTGTCGGCCTCCAGCGCCCACCAGCTCAGCGCTCCGACCTCGAGCTTCAAGCGCTCGACTTTCCACCTCCACCTCCAACTCCTCACATCGACTTTCAGCGCCGAGCAGCCCAGCGCTCCGACCTCGACTCTCCAGCCTCCGACTTTCCAACCCCGGCCCCGCCCGTCGACCGCCAGCGTTCGCCAGCTCAGCACTCCGACCTCCGCCCTCGAGCATTCGACTTTGCACTTCCACCCCCAGAGGAGGAAGAGGAACGCGAGCAGGAGCAGGGCCGGGAGCAGAAAAAAGAACGCAGCGCACCATCTGCTACGTTGGCACCGTCGGCGCCTTCCACATCATCGCCCCTCCTCTGGCTACAGGCGCCCCTGCCGCTGGCGACAGCAGCGATGGCGACGATACCGACGACGAGCCAATGCAGGTTTCGACCTCCGCCTCCGCCCATCGACTTCCAGCGCCCAGCTGCTCAGCACTCCCGCCTCCGGCCTCCAGCTCAGCGCTCCGACCTCCAGCCTCAATCGCCCGACTTGCCGCCTACCCTTGCGCCTCCACTTCCACCGATCGACTTCCAGCGCCCAGAAGCTCAGCACTCCGACCTCCACCCTCCGGCAGCATTTGACTCCTCCACCTCCACCTCCACCCATCGACCTCCAGCGCACAGCAGCTCAGCACTCCGACCTCCAGCCTCTGGCAGCGCGTGACTACCCACCTCCACCTCCGCCCGTCGATCTCCAGCGCCCACCAGCTCGGCACTCTGACCTCCAGACTCAAACGTTCGACTTCCCATGTCCACTTAGACCTCAACCCATCGATTTCCAGCGCCCAGCAGATCAACGCTCCGACTTCCATTTTTATGTGTCCGAGATTCAATTTCCAACTCCACCCGTCGACCTCCAGCGCCCACCAGCTCCACATTCCGACTCTGGTCTTCCAGCGGCTGGCTTTCCACCTCCATTTCAGACTGTCGCATGCCAGCGTTGGCCAGCTCAGCGACGAGACTTCCAGCCTCCGTCGCCCGACTTCCCACCTCCACTTCCGCCTGTCGACCTCCGGAGTCAACCAGCTCAGCGCGC